GGGCGCCCCCGGGACACCTCACAGCCAGCGCTGCCAAACTCCCTTATTGTGTGACAAACCGTGGGGGGGTGAAGGGAGGGAACAAGTTTAATTCTTGCCGTTTCAGTGTTTGAAGCAGAAGGCGATGGCTGCTGTTCATTGAAAGGGAAAGGACACGTGCCAACACATGGAGTGGTCTGCACCCACCTGGAAAAAAGCTGTGGCCGTCCCTGGTGGCGTGTGTGCTGTGGGTGGTGATTGTTGCTGGGTCAGGACTTACGCCAAAGCCTTTCCATGGCAAAGCGTCTCCTCAAGTCAGCAGCTGATCTCACATGATTCTCTTGTTAGCCAGGAGATCTGAAGGAAAAAAAAAGTTATAGGGTTATGCATATAGTTATCTATGCGTAGGTCATAGATTTTCTTGCAGGTTGACAGAGCACTGGAACAGGCTGCCCAGAGACGTTGTGGAGTCTCCTTCTCTGGAGACATTCAAGACCCCGCCTGGACGCCTTCCTGTGCAACTTGCTCTAGATGAACCTGCTTTGGCAGGGGGGTTGGACTAGATGCTCTCCAGAGGTCCCTTCCAACCCCCACCATTCTGTGACATCCTTAATGTGTCAGTTGGCTCATCGTCTTTATTGGCTCCAGTCATCTCCCAGAAGAAGCAAAGTCTAAATTTTGAATTGTCTTGTAACAATTTAGTCTGAAACTGTCAAATTTTATGCTTAACTAATTGTTATAAAATTAGTTCTTATAAAATTGGAATGAACTTTTGGAGGCATGATCATTAATAGAAGATTTTGTTCTGTTTTCACTACAAGTTGATTATTCCTTATGGCTAGGAAATTTTTAGTAGCTTTGAGGTGAGGTAAGTGTGGAGTGCAGGTTCTGGGGTTAAAACGCCTGTTTTGCCCCCTGTGGGGAACTGGGTCAGCAGTGGCACAGTCCCTTCTGCTCATTGCTGATTGTAACTATTTGGAGCTGTCTCGTCTGCAAAGCCAAGAGCTGACGACCTGTGTTTCCCTCCCCTGCCCCGTGTTGGAGTGGTTTGTGATCGTTCAGTTATGATCATTCATGGCAGCTTGAACTCAGGTGTATCACAGCTGTTACACAGACCTGTGTTCTGTCCCTGTAAGTTTCACTAAAACACATATGTCAGAAATATAATTAGCCTGTGGCTCTCATAATGCTGTTTTGTCAAGGTTTTTCTGGAGAGGGGAAGTCTTGCTACCCATTTAGGTGTTATGGAGCTTTTATACAACTGCCAAGTATGTGATGTAGAAGGATGACCTCTGTGTTGTACTAAAATTTGAAATGTCAGGCATTTTCCTGTATCTATAAAAACTGGACTGAATTAAAACTTCCCCCCTAGTGTTCTAGGATGCATTTGCATCATTCAGGGCTTCAGCATGAAAACAGAGTTATTTTTACTCCAAGTATGATTATTTTATAAGCTACGAGGAAGTCTTAGAAGGAGTAAAGCAAGGGGCAGGTGACCGCTGCGTGAGTAGCAGTGTCTTTAAGACATTCCTACTCCTATTATCAGCCTGTTGCTGGAGCTGACCATTCCTCCCACGGTGATACTTTGTCTGAATCAACCTCAGGCAAAATTAGCCATGTTTGATCAAATAGTTTTAATAACTGATAAAAGCAAGTCTGACTCATCATTGATGGAAAAACTTAGTTGGCAGACTCACGAATTACTCCATCACAAAACAGGAGGGAAACTGATGGAGAGCAGGTTATCCTCCTGTGGTCCAGCTGGATCAAAAGAACATCTGTCCACATAGTTTGGTTTATGTTCTGTACCACTGAAAGGCTGGCTGCTGAAGAAACAAAAGCAATAAGCTAAGTGATCTGTAGTCTTTTCCCCACTGTTAACTTTTAAGTGGATGCTGGGTTCTGATTACCTTCAGGATTCTCATCTTGGAGTACAGCTTCCCATTCCCACGTCAAACGGGAGTGAGGAGAAGGTCGTGCACTCTTCTTGGTGGGAGTGGCAGGCAACTGCCTGGAGTTGGGGCCGAGGGGACCTGTGTGTCAGGCTTGGACTGAAGTGAGATAAAGTGGTTTTGCTTATGGTAGGTGTAAGACTGCAATCTTAGCACGCTCATACCCGTATGGATAGGGCCTCTAGGAGTTCAGAGAAGGACTCGGGGAGTGTGAATATGCAGTGACTAATAGTGGAAGATTACCCCAAGTTCACTGAAGAGGGTAAAAGATGAAGTTCTTTATCTGAATTTTAGCACTGTAGGAATTTGATTGTATAACTTCTCCTTTTGCTACAAATCCTTTAGAAGATTTTTCCTTGCTTGCCGTTAGCCTGAGCACTGCTGTGTCTGTCACTGGTGGCCAAGCTGCTTCTAATAGTTCAGGTTTACACGTTATTACGAATACAGTAAATACAGCTGCTTCTAATAGTTCAGTTTTACACGTTATTACAAATACAGTAAAGCTGATTGGAAGAGGCAGATACTCCGATAAAGAGTTTGTCAAGCAGCCTCATGTGATCAGACCGAAGGCGCCTTTTTCCTCCTTCCAGACCCCTGTCTTTTCAGTGCTCGCAGAGCTGATTGCATCGTATATCCTGACAGCAGAGCCGCAGCTCTCGCTAGTGTGAGATGTCCTGTATTCTGCAAAGGTTGTTGAGCTGTGCCCGTACTGAGCTGGGAAAAAAAGATGCCAAAACAGTTGGAAAAATTATGGATTTTATCTTTTTTTGCCTGAACTGAATAGAAGTACAAACCCATGGGAGAAAAAGAATTTTTAACAGGTTTGGTAGAATATGTAAATAGCTTTGTTACGGTCAACCAGAAAAAAATTCTTTGCAGTTTTACATAATACTTTATTTATTTTCCACATTATTTAATAATTTTCTACTTTACTTCTTTTACTTTATTCTTTTACTTTTTAAAATTAGCTTAATTTTTAAAAATATTTTCTTTATACAAAAGCAAAAGGCCACTTTGGTTAAAAGCCTCAGAACGGAATGTTTCAGCATGTCTGAAAGAAAGCATTTGGTTTTGAAAACACTGAAATAAATATATGGTGTCTTTTTTAGCAGCCAAAGCTACTAAGAAGATTTGATCTAAATGCACAAATAGTTTTGATCCCCTTAAAACCATCATTTTCCATCAGATTTATTATTTTACATCTCTGTTTCCTGGCTTTATTTTGGAAGTAAAGCTAAGAAATTATTTTAAGAGCAGGTTATTTCTTTTTAAGTTGGTAATTATTAGTATCTTGTAGTTCCTGCACTAACTTCTGAGAAGCAATATTGTGCTGTTATCCTCAGGTGAGCATTTCAGAGACCATTTAAAGACTTTGTAGGCTGTTGAGGTAGGTTGATCTTCCTGAGGATCTCAGCTGCTGTGGTGCTAAGTGATGGCCACGCGGGTGAATGCCGGAGCAGGGTCAGTGCACCACAGAACTGGCTGTTGAGGTGGAAATAAAGGAGAGCAAGTGCCACGAAAATGTTCTGTCACTATTTATTTGAATGTGCAAGTGACTTTGCTTTGGTTGTGTTCATAACCCCTTTTATATTCTTTTTATGCCATCTTCCTTTTGCTTGAGGCTCGCCGGTATGCAATGTGGATTTAAGGTCAAATGCTCACAGACTGTGAATTTTAAATTTGCTTAGACTTGAGAATTCACACAAGATGAGGAGTTACACTTGTTTAAATGTGGGAATAACAGCGAACCACAATGAAGTAGCGTTAACTAAAATTTCGTAATTCAGATAAACCAGTTGTAGAATAAATGGCATTTGCCAAAAGATCATTAAAATTAATAAATAGGTCTGAGAACACCGGGAGTTATTTTCAGGAATGGAAACTGCTCATGACTATTCAGCCTTTGGCAAGAGCAGGAGAGTAAAATGGCAACATCAGTGTCTGATGTTTTCACTGTCTGAGGCCAGTGAATCAGATTTGTAGTACAACACATGAATTGTTGAATCATACTTATGAAAAAGTAATAACAATGGCTACTGTTAATATCTCTGGCTTTTTTTCTGGTCTGTCTGTTTAACTGCATTGCAAGTCCATGTTTTATATGCATAGCCTTATGCTGCACATGTTTCGTTTAACAGGTTTGCCTGTTTGCCCAGAGCTGACTCGAGAGCACATCCCTAAAACCAGGGACGTGGGTCACTTTTTGTCTGTTACTGGGACTGTCATACGTACCAGTCTGGTGAAGGTTCTGGAGTTTGAGCGGAGTTACATCTGCGATAAGTGCAAGCACGTCTTTGTCGTCAAGGCTGACTTCGAGCAGTACTACGCGTTCTGTCGTCCATCAGCCTGTCTTAATGAAGAAGGCTGCAACTCAACCAAGTTCACCTGTCTCTCTGGAACAACCTCTTCTCCTACCTGCTGCAGAGACTATCAAGAAATCAAAATTCAGGAACAGGTATTAAAAAAAACCAAAACAACCCCAAGATGGAGAAAAAGTTGAGGATGTTAAGGTTTAGATGTCTCAAGTACCAAAAGAATTAACTTACTAAAGAAGGCATTTGGGGGCCTAATTTCCTTCTTGGAATAAGGTGACTGCTAATTTTAGTGAAACTGTTCATGCTTACGTCAGAATTCAGTTGTTGATTAGATTTCCATTATTAGGTAACTCCATTCCCGGTCACTTAGAACACCAGAGATCAGTGCACTGATTAAATTTCTGTGCTGAATTCTCACACCACGAAGTTTGCATTGTTTCTCCAAGGACTAAAGCTAGCCCAGTGGTGGCCAAGGCCAGCTGTGGTGGCGCAGTGTGGTCAGTACGTGGTGTCTGCAAATGTCTGCTCCCTTCAGCCAATACTGAATTCAACAATTATTGAATATGTGCTCCTCAGAAATAGTCCCAAGTGGAAGTACAGCCAAGCTGGAAGAGTAAGAAACTATCAGGCCTCTTTTTACAGTAGCACATAACTAAGAACTGGCACCAGAAAATCTACACTGGATGAAAAACTGAGAATAAGTAGGGTATATTGCAGGCAATGTTTCTGTGTTTATTTGTATGTTCAGTGTCTTTTTCATAAATCTTTTCTAAGATCTCTTCAGTGGTTTCAGGGTTTTGATTTTATTATGAGTATTGTGGTGCTAGTCTACTTGCAAGATGTATGAAAACAGAAATGTGTGAAATTAGAAATGAAGCTCTTTAAAGTTCAGAATAGTAAAAAAGTAAAGGAATAAAATTATTTCTAGGAAATAAGCCCTATGCTGCATGTTTATATTATGATTGTTTCTGACATATGGTTTCTATAACTTCTTTTGTTTTACTGTGTGACACACAGATCTCTCTGATGGGAAGGATTTTCAGCAGCATGAGCTTATTAAACACAGTAAAATTAAACCAGGAATGAATTGCACTCATGTTTCCTACCGTGCTCTGCCAGTACCTGTGTGTGTGCCACCAGTGCTGACAGTGACGTGGACTGCCTGTGGCCATTTAGATAATACACAAGGATGAATTAACCTTCCTAGGCACTAGAGAGGGAATAAATCTAGAATTCTAACATGTATGACCTGTGCTGCAGAATGAAAAGGTACTTCTGATTGTTGTTCTTGTGTAGTGGATATTCTAAAGACTACTGCAAGCTTTAAGTGGAAAGACTGCTGGTTGGAAATAGACGGTGACAAGGTTGCACAGACTTTGCCCTGGAGAAAAGAAAAAGAATTAGAGGAGTTACTGGCACATTTCTCAATATACTTTTATCTGGTTGTGTGTGGTTTGTTTTTTCCTGTTGTTGATTTAATCCTTGACACTTAGATGTAAACTTACATTTCAACCCGTCAAATTATGGTTAAATACCAGAAAAATATAGAGAATAATCTTGGAGTATATACTTCCAGGAAGGGTTATCTAACTCATGGACGTGCTTCAGTATCCAAAGTAAACTTTGCATATTGAAGATGTATCTAAAAATATCTCAAATTATTTTAAAAAAGAAAATATCAGCTCCTTCAAATGGCCTCTTTTAGTCAGCTTTCTTCAGCAAGGTATTGAAATCACACAGCACCTCCCAGAATTGAGCACCTTCAGCTAATTTGATACCCAATCCTGTTTCCATTAATACCAGCATTAAAGTTCCATTATTAAGTTCATGGCAGCAGTGGCTTGTTTGCTGTGTAAGTTGTGTGAGAAAAAGCAAGGACTGACCTCAGTCCCAGGAAAGGAACGTAGGTCCGTGAGCCAGAGCAGCTAAATGGCTTTTGAAGGGTTCTGTTCTTAAGGAGCTTCTCCTTCCTGTCTCTTAGGTTCAAAGACTGTCTGTTGGAAGCATCCCTCGTTGCATGGTGGTTGTTCTGGAAGATGACTTAGTGGACAGTTGCAAGTCTGGTGAGGTTACAGCCTGTATCGCAGATGTTTGTACCATGAGCATTTTTATTTTTCCATTTGAGATGAATCTTTGCCAAGTAGGCTGTCAGTGCTGAGGACTTGTTGAATGAGATATGCACATCTGTCACGCTGCTGTTTCACCTGGGATGTTAACACAGCAGTTGAAGACTTCTAGAAAATGTCATACCTCCCCATGTTACACCTTGACTGTTTGACAGATCAGTTTCACTAAGTAATGTGTTGTGATGTACAGAAAATATATTAAATCTTGTTAGTGTGGGAACACCAAACCTCTTGAGGGAATTGGTCCACACATCACACCACACAGCATGTGGTGCCCCTCTCTAGGTTCAGAGAGCTGGGTAACCTGACTTCCTTTCTAAGGAGTGCTGCAAGTGGAAAAAGCGACCTGGCATCCAAAAAGGAAGCTAATTGGCAGGAGAATGTATAAAGAATGGACTAAAAATTCTCAGATAAGCGCATCCCCACAAGAAAATCATTTCTAGTTGTACTTTCTCAGAAGAACACTGTGGCCAGAATGTTAACAAGTGATTCTGGAGTTCATCACAAAAGTTACCAGAAGACAAATAAGTTTTGACCACATTTTTGTATAGTAAATCTAATTGATAGAAGACCTGCTACAGCTTACTGTGAATTCCTCTTTTCTAAAAGAGGAAACAAGCAGAGGTATGGCTATCAGAATTCACCCACCTTAAACAGAACTAGAAAGACATAGCAATTTCCCACCATAGACATAAGCAATCTACCTAATGTTTGCTGTTTGTTGTTGGGCATTTTATCCTTATTAACTATAACACAGGATCTCAGTTGCATTGTTATGCATTACAGCTAACTGACATGTCTGCATTTCTCAAGGCATATGTTAATTTATTAATTTTTGGTTTTTTTGTTACCTCCAGGAGATGACATCACAGTGTATGGAGTGGTAATGCAGAGGTGGAAACCTTTCCACGAGAGTGCACGCTGTGACTTGGAGCTTGTTTTGAAAGCCAACTATGTTAAAGTAAATAATGAGCAGCTATCAGGGGTTGTAATTGATGAAGAAGTCCGCAAGGAATTTGAAGACTTCTGGGAAAAGCATAGGAATGATCCCTTAGCAGGTTAGTAGTTGAAAGCTTTTAAGTAGGACACATGATCAGATAGAGATTAAATCAGAAGTGAAAATACAGTGACTGAACACGCTTCCTTCCTTCATTCCTGTCCCACCACCCATTCATCCAATCATATATTTTTTCCAGCACAGGAATATGAAATTCTTACTTTAATATCACTGGGAAAAAAAGTAACAAACCTTCTTTTGAGCTTTCTAGTCAAGCCTTTTGTGGAACATTTATTAACAATAAATGAGAAATAATATAAGTATCAAATATGGAGAGAGTCTCCCAATTCACAGTGGCTTCCAGAACAACTAGAGTGTTTAGTATGCTGGCTCCTAAATTTACCACGGTCTGCAGCCAACCACTTAGGAATCAGCACGAGTTGTGTCTGGAACTCTGTCCTTCTCCATAATCTGAGTGCCTCCTCCTGAACCATGGAGAAGGTCATTGGACTTTTTTGGGTACTGAACTGTCTCAGGCTAACACTCAGTCTTCTAAAACCTGAAAAGGGCTTAGTCTTTCTTTTTAAAAGACTAAACAGGAGGAAAAGCAGGTGGGAATGTTGCCCATGTCAGCTTAAAGATTAGAGGGCTCACCTAAAAAATTTGAGATCTTGTCAATGGCAAAAGTTCTTCAGAACTGCATTTCCTGGAAAGCAATATAATTGCCAGCCTCCTGCTGTTTGGAACAAGAACATTTCTTCCTCCTGCTGTTTGGAATGAGAACATTTAATATCACCCGGATTAGAACTGTTCAGAAAATAATTCAGGATCCTCTTTGAAGGTCCCATTTAATCTTTCATTCTCAGGACAATTTTTGGAAGCCTGCAGAGAGCAATGTGGTTTTATGCAATATTAACCCATTCAGAATAATAAATTAATATGAAGTGGCTACAAGAAAACTGAAGTGGAAATGAGAAAGACTCTGACTGCTCAAGATGTCTGTTTCAGGCTGTTTGTCTGAATCTGAGTCTCCTGAGATGAGGGCAGAGATCAAATTTGACTAAGGAGTCTAAGGTATAGGCCATTTCACAACATTTCTACATTTACTTTTTCAAGAGGTAGTGGTAGTTTCTACTGCACTTTATGTCAGTCAGTTCCTCATGCTGTGTATTAGGTGTCCTGAGAAAGTAAGTGTACCATAGCAGACCTCTGAGAGAACTTATGCAGGTGGCTTTATTTTTTCTGGATACTTCTAGGAAGATGCAGAACTGCTGAGCTGCTCAGCGCTGACAAGGCAAATGAATCTGAAGTCAAATAGAGACAACTGTGGGGTTAAATCTTGAGTTATGCTATGGCTGACCAAAGTTTTCAAAATTTCATTTTTGGACAAAGATGTGTTAATTCCCTCAGAAAACCTCCACAAGAAATGCATATGCCTCAAGTCATCTGTTAGGTGCCTACATATTTTGCCAGCACCATGTACTTGCATCTAAATTTAAAACATTAAGAACTCAAAATTGGTCACTGTTTTATTCTCTGGCAATGGGAGTAACGTATGGCATTAAACCTGTGATGCCTTATGTACCACTAGTGTCAGAATCTCAAAGGACAGATTTAATTCTGTTACACATCTTCCAAGCCAACAACATTATCACAGCAGACTGAAATACTCTGTTGCTGGAAAGCGACTGTGGCAGGGAGGAGGAAAGGGTCAAACAAGACCTTTGACACAGAAGGATAAAAGGAGAAGGAGACAATTGAAAACAATGATGAGAAAATGCGCTGTGCTGTGGGTGCACAGGTTTAGGGCAAAATACCTCAAGTGTTAGATGTACATTTAGGAAAACTAAGAAAACAACACACCAGTTTTCAAGGGAGTATTTTGAAGTCTGGAAACTTGTAAGTTTTATTCTTCATAGCCTCTACACTTTTATCTGTGATACAAATGGGTTTGCACCACGGCATTTTGTTAGAGCCTTCTCTCAAGATATCCAGACTATACATTCCTTAAATTGTGGTAAGATTGGCTTTGCCGCTTATCACATTAAGAAGACTTAACTTCCTTCTAGTGAAGGACATTTGGATCAAACAACTGCTTTGGGTCCTGTTTAAAAAATAAAATAAAATTTAAAAAATACCCTGCCTGCCCTGTTCTTCTTCAGGAAGCAGACCCAAATTATCTGTGAGCGTGCACAGGACTGTGGACTTAGGACTATTATTTGTCAGTGTGTATTTAACTTGAAGTGTATGTAGAAGTCCATGGGAAACCAGGGTTTACTCTTGGGGCAGTGCTGAGTGTCAAGTTTTGCTCCTGTTCTAGGGAGGAATGAAATTTTGGCCAGCTTATGTCCTCAAGTGTTTGGGTTGTACCTGGTGAAGTTGGCTGTAGCCATGGTGCTTGCTGGTGGTGTACAGAGGACTGATGCTACTGGAACTCGAATCAGAGGTTAGTATTGTTTCTAATAGCATCATATCCTTTCTAACAGCTGTTCCCATTCCTGTCTTCACCCACATCCCCCCCACAAAATCAAACCAGTAAGGTTTCAGGAGCATAATTATCCCATTTTCTTGAGTGAGAACAGTTTTTGATTAATGCTGAGTATTCTTCCAGAACTGCAGACAAATGAAATGGGTGTCTAGACTTCCTCTTTCTATTTTAATTTTTCCCAAATAAAGCCCAGTAAAAGCAGGCGTTCAGGATCCCATTGGGTGGAATATTAAAGGTAGTTGTTTTAGATAAAACATAAACTCACTTTTTATTGTATAAGCAACATTTTGAAATTATTTCTAGTAGAATATTCCTGGCAGTATTTGGCATCCAAGGATGGAATATTAATGTTTCCTTAATGTGGATCACTATAGTACATTGAAAGGAAAAATTAAAGGATTCATTTACTTCCTAATGCCAGACTTTTCCATCTGTGATTGTCAGCACACCTCACTTAGTTCTGTTACTGTAAGTTATCTGCCTGCTGATTCTCCTTCTGTTGTTATTAGATGGCAAATATGCCGTGTGCCAGGTAGTACGCAAGTCATAATCTGTCTAGGTCATAATAATTCTAAAATAGTATGGCTGTATATACAAATACAGGATTTTCTTAATGCTCCAGCAGCTGAAGTTATAGGCTTTATATCTGAATTCAAGTTATAATAATATTTTGTAGAAGACAATAAGTTTAGAGCACTTTGGTGAGATTGTAGTAGCCAAATTATTTACTTCTGTAATTCCACTGTTTTGAAATTACTAAATTGTGTAACTGTTGGCAGTGTAACAGAATTAGTTAAGAAAAACAACCTGCTGATTTTATTAGTTCTTTTTGCAATATTTTAACTGAATAGTGGTATGGTCACTAAACCTTGGTATCCAGTTTCATGTTCAAGAGTGAGTCGAGTCTGAGCAATTAGTACTCTAAAATGGAAGAACTCACATTACGGGAAGTATGTCACATACTTGCAAATACTTTTAAAATAGTTCATTGTGAATATTTGGGTGCAGCAATATGACTAGGTGCTTTTATTAAACAATATTTTTATCACACCCAATAAATAGGGCAGTCTTAAACAGAATTACATATTGTAATGTGTATGTAGTGCTAAATGTCAGGTGAATAACGAGAAGTATTATTTAATTCCGAGCATTTTGAGTATCTCGTTCTCTGTATATGAACCGTACTCCCACATCAACATTTCCCCCAAGGTGAATCACATCTTCTGTTGGTTGGAGACCCAGGCACGGGGAAGTCTCAGTTTCTCAAGTATGCAGTAAAGATTATGCCACGCTCAGTGCTTACTGCAGGAATTGGATCTACAAGTGCAGGTATGTGCTGCTTAGCTGGAACGTTTTACTTTCTTCCCTGGAGTATGTTTATATAGAGCCCTCCTACATATATGAACATAGGTGCTCAAGTTGTATGAGCACTGTTGCTCCATATACTGCGGGGGCATATGAGGTGTGATGTGACTCTCTGCAGAAGGGCAGTCCTGTCCCTTCTTCTCTGTCAGTGGAGCAGTGTGATGGGCTTCCAACAGGGAACCTTACAAGCCTCAACCAGAGGCACCTCTCACTGCTTTGCTGGCAGAGGGTGGTCTGGACCTGTATTTTTAGTGTTTTTCCCAGCTATGACAAACCTGACATCTTTCCAGAGCTCACACTGTGTGATGGGCTCAGCATCATTTGGTTTCTCCTGAACAGATACTCTCCTCTCTTCTGTTCTTTTCTGTGTTCTGGCTGGGTGCCAGTTTGATTTCTGCCTACTTTCTGGAAATTCACCCCTGTGCTGAGGAATTTATTTCTGATTCATAAAGATGGTTTCAGAGAGCAAGCTTTTTTTTTTTTTTTGTTCTTGTTAACAAAATATATACCTACATATACCTCTATATATATATATATACACACCTAGATATATACCTAGATATACCTATATATGTAGGTATATCTATATCTACATATATATATATACACACACACCTAGATATATACCTAGATATACCTATATATGTAGGTATATCTCAACTGGCTCTGAATGCCAGGTATCTTTACAAACTTCTGGGGACAATGTGCCGGGTCAGATGACCTCTGCACATTACCTTAATAGAGCAAATGACTGTATTACTACTACATTCAAAATCACAAAATAATTAGGGACAGACCTGAGTGGCTCAGCTAGCGTGCACAACCTGAATGTTTCTCAGATAGTGCTGCTTTTCATTATATGTCTGGGAAACGGCGTTATTTATACATGGGAAAACCAGGAAATAGATCTTGCCCGGTTCCGTAGCGATGTGTACATGTGTTATACTGGGTCTTCCGTAGCTGTGGAAGTGGAAAATGATGTTGAACATGCACAATCTTGTGTGCAGGGAACTTGTTCTGTTTTCCATTCAAACTGTTGACAAACAGGTCTGGAGAGAAGCCAGAGAGAACATTTTGGCTCAGCATAACCTTCTCTCCACCTTTTGTTCTGCATTAAGAACTGAGAACAGGCTGCATAATTTAAATTTTGCTAGGGGACTGACAATGACCTGGAGTGAAAATTTGCCACGCATTGCAATGTGACCTTGCCCGCTTTTGTCAGCAGTAATCTCCCTGTCAGCTGCTCTTGGTCTCTGTTGCCTTCTTCACCACATCTCCCTCCTGTGCTTTATTTTCTGTATGATCTGGTTTCCAGCTCAGCCATGATAGCTAGATTCAGAGACATTTCCCTGAAAACCAGTATTGCAGTTTAAAAGCTTACTGAGGTATGTGTGCCGTAGAATCAGGTGTAATGATGCACGGAGACGGAGTTTCATTGTGTGAAAGGATTGTCTTGGGTCTTTAGATCATCTACAAAAAGTCTCTCCCTGCACACGTGCGCACACTCACACACACACACACACTCTCCCCCACTCCTTCCTGAAATCTGACAGCAGGTGCACCAAATTTCCACCTTAAAATTCTTTAGGACCCTTATCACAAGTGAAACTTCAGTCCCCAGCAATAAATCTTACTAACTCTAGTTTAATTTCAAGGAATCTTTCTATGACTAGAACTGCTGGACTAAAGCATTAGTTTCTAGCCCAGGAGTTTGGGTGTAGTTTGAATTATTTTCTTTGGCTTTCCTGTGCCTAGAGTGTGTTCCTTATGTTTATAACTGTACCTAACCCTGATTTTTGTCAACTTGCTCTTCATGCAGAAACTCCAAATTATTAGTTTAGAGAACTATTAAATTGTTTTACTTTCTGTGTTGTAATTGTGCACTTCAAATGACCAGTTTCTGCTTTTTCATGAGAGCCAAGTCCTAATGCACATTTTTCTGTCCAGTGTACAAAGACTAAATCCGTAAGTTCTACTTTCAGCTAGTTCCTTACTCCATATTAAAAGCAGTCTGGACTGCAGTTTAATTGCTGGCTCTGGGATTACTGTGCACGAAGGACAAAAGACACACCTGGGATGTGGTAAACCGTGGAAAAGTGCTAAAAGCTGTCTTACATTTGGATTACTCCTTTAGATAAAATTGCTGATATCTCACCAACCTTTGGTAAGACTCTGTGCGTTAACAGATCTTGTACCCTTTACCCACCTGCTGCTGTTTTAGGATATGAGCTATTTATCAACTGTAGAATTAGATTTCTGCTTCCAAACCTGTCTATCCTATCAATATTCCTTGGCTTTCTGTACAAGCATTTTTTGGTACCAGGACAGTGTATTAGATCATTAACATTCTCCTTGTGCCAAAATTCCCTTTCATTCCAGCTCCACCTTAGGTATCGTGTGCTTTGAGCTCCTCTGTGATCCTCTGGGGCCCTGCAGTGTCACGTGCCCACCGCAGCCCCTTATCCCATCTGGACCTAACTGGAATTGCCTCGCAGAATTTCAGAAAGCAGCAACCTAACTCCACAGCTTGATTTGCTGCTGGGCCTCTGCTCTTTGAGTCAGGTTCCTGACTCTCCCAGTGCTTTTTAAACAAAGTCTGTGCTTTATCAGATGTGTTTTGCCTGCTTCAGAAAGTCTGACCCACGTTAATACCCTGCTTTCAGCATTCGAGTGAATCAGTATGGAAGACCTTAATCCTTGTTATCTCACCAACAGGCTCAAGTTGCCTGCTTGCTGCAAACAGCCCTTAACAAATGACCAATAATCTATTCTGTGCTTTGGAAAAAGCAGAACTTTACCTTCATTCCCTGGATAGTGTTTCTGAATTTACTTTTTTATTAGGTTGCCTTTCTTGGGAACACTTAGTAGAAATTTTGTTGACAGTTCTCTGCAAGTTTAGGACTTCTCTGAGGAACCAGGGTTCGTTCCTCCCACATCTCTTTAATGAAAATTGGCAGCCACAAGGCCAACCCACATTCAACAACTCAATGGCAAAAATTTCTTTAACTGCTTTAGGACTTCTGATTACCCACCTGGACGCTTTCCTGTGTAACCCACTGTAGGGAACCTGCTTTGTCAGAGGGGCTGGACTAGATGATCTCCTGAGGTCCCTTCCAACCCCTACCAGTCTGTGATTCTGTGACTCTGTGATTTGAAAGTAAAAGATGGGGGAACCATCTGTCCCACTGTCTGGTTCTGTCTACACAGTGTTTAGTTTTTTTAAAGGCCTGGTTGATTCTCCCCAACTAGGCTCTCATCTGAGAATTGCAGGGAGTCATTCAGTTACCTTTAACTTTTAGAAATTGATACATAGTTTTCCAGAAGGAGACTTAGTGAGGTTTAACAAAATCTCTCTGGCAGTTCCCACCTTACTACTGAGTTTAACCAACTGTTTTGCAGTTCCCAGAGCCATAGTGCTGCTTGTGCATATTTGGATGAGATAATCGCTAGTAAGAAAACATTTTGTTTTCCCTGGGAGCTTGAGATCTGCAGCAACCAGTTGAGTGGTGTGTTTGACTCTACAGGGACAGGAACCAACACGTGCCTGCTGCTAGTGGGTCTGGAGCTTGTGGACATCAGGCCAGAGTCATTCTGCTACTTCCTGATGCATGTTTGGCTGTTCCCATTTCTGCAAAGTTTAACTTGGTGTTGTGTCCCTCCACAGATGGACCACTTAAAGAATTTTGTGAACTGTATTTAGAACAGCTTGTCAAAAAATCTGGGAGACTATCAGCTGTTTCTCTAGCTCTGCAGTTCTGTGCAATATGCCTTCCTGAGCTGTACGAATGCAGCCTTCTGGCCCCTCAGTCTCTGCAGAGCCTTGAGAGTGCTGCCTTTTTGCAATGTTTAACATTGTCCATATCATGCCAACAGCTGCTTGCTCCTATGTTTTTTTTCTTTTCATTTAAGACAGCTAACTGAAGGGGAAACCACCATTTTTATTTTTCATAGTAAGCCTCTCCCTGCTAGGCAGACTTCAATGCTAACAGTTGTCTCTCCAGAGCTGTCAGAAACCAATTCAAAGTGGCCAACATAAGCCTTCCAGTTATGGCTATGAATAGAGTATGTGGTGTCAGTATCCTGAGGTACACAAGACACTGAAACTGAAGACATTTTCCCCTGTTTGTAGGTCCCCAAACTGTCCCTGGACGTTCCCTAGTTGACATGTGCCAAGGCAGTGGCAGGGAACATGCTGATAGTTTTACTGCTATGGCTCCATACCCTGGCCCTGGGCAGGTTATTAACAGAGATGCAGCCTTCACTACTTTTTTTGGATCTTCAGTTCTACCACAGGATTCTTCATTGTTTTTCTGAATATTCATAATTGTACATGAACTTGAAGTATTTTCTGTCAGCATGTACCTTGAAAATATTTTCCTGAGAGCATGATTTAATTGGCTTTTCCTTAAACAGTTGGACCTCAAGTTGAAGGGGCCTTAACTCTGTAGGAAGTCTGCTAGACTTCTTGAAGAAAGGAATTTTGAAGTCGTGATCAACCCTCATCAGAGATTTGCCACATCTGTAACAATGTCTCGTCTCTTGCAGATCCTCAGATTCCCTTAATTTCCTCTCAATAATGCTGCTCCAAGTTGGCTTTGTCCTGGGACAAAGCTTACCTTGACTACCTGCATGCAAAAGATTCTTTAGATCATAGAATCATAGAATGGTTTGGGTTGGAAGGGACCTTAAAGATCATCTAGTTCCAACCCCCCTGCCATCAGCAGGGACACCTTCCACTAGACCAGGCCTCTCAAAGCCTCATCCAACCTGGCCTTGAACACTTCCAGGGAGGGGGCATCCACAGCTTCTTTGGGCAACCTGTGCCAGTGTCTGACCACCCTCACAGTGAAGAATTTCTTCTTAATATCTCATCTAAACCCACTCTCTTCCAGTTTAAAGCCATCACCCCTTGTTCTATCACTACCTGCCTTTGTAAAAAGTCCCTCCCCAGCCTTCCTGTAGCCCCTTCAGGTACTGGAAGGCCGCTATAAGATCTTCCCTGAGCCTTCTCTTTTCCAGGCTGAACAGCCCCAACTCTCTCAGCCTATCTTAGCCAAGTAGAGATCTACTTCAGAAATTTTGGCCTGTTCATACATCCATATCTGAAGACCTGTAGTTAGGATGGAGAAGAAGTACCACAGGAGCAATACCATTGTCATGTTGGCTGGAGGTTTCAGGTCTTATGCACTTGTGGCAGAACACATCCAGGTAGGCCTTCATCAGACTTTTGTCCTGCTGTTGAAATGGCACGCATTTCACATGCAGTTGACTGAATGAATGTCTTAGGTCTTCAGGATTCCCTTCACGATTCCATAAGGCCCCTGTTTCTTCCCTGGTTTTATCAGTGGAGGTCTGCCACACCTTTCTCGTGAGATAGGACAAACTGGAGGACCCCCTTAGGTTGAAAAGTAGGCCTTCTTATCTTGTGGTCCTGGGGTGTTTTAGAGGGAGACCCAAGAACTCCTTGAAAGTTTTTGACCTTTCAGCCAGTTCTTAACACTGTTGTTAACACGTAGCTGTTGTCTCTTACATCTGGGATAGCCCTTGTGCAGCACACACACCTCCTTCCTCTGGTTTTCTCAGTGTGCAGGAAGGGCAGTCACATCCCTCGTGCCATGGACAATGAGTACCCAGCCATGCCTCCAGCCCAGCATTACTGAAAGCTGGAAATGTTGAAGTGTATCCTCCCTCCATCCCCTCTTGAAAGGGCCTTTTCTTTTCAGATTCCAGATACCAACCTGGGGTTTGCCTTTAACAAAGCCTCCTTAGTGACTCCAGCAGGCTCTTCTACCTTGGACATTCTTCTTTGCCTAGACCAAAAATGACGCAAAAATCCCTCCACCTGTCTTCTGCAGCCCAGCTCTTGCATCACACTCTTCATATCCACATCCATATCTTCATATCCACAGCTCTTCAGGAGCAGAACTTTAACTGGAAGCATAAATACAAGTGGGAAGGCCTAGCACAAGTAATCCTCCACACACTGCCTGCCCTTACAGGTAGTTGTCAGTGTTGTTGCACCTTCCCAGTTGGCACTGAGCAGAGCCCTCCAGCCAGCAGCAACAGGAACAATGAACCCATCATCTTTGGACCAAACTTCTGTGGCTCAAAAAAATGAGAGACTCTGCAAGCTTGCAGACCACTGTGCTACGGGGAAGGGGTAGGGTAGTTAAGTCAGTATGTAAAGGATCTCCTACAGCTGCCCAGACAAAAGCCACAAGCTTTGGTTAACTTTGCTCTTTTTCTGTCTCTGGTAGATGAGGATTTGCCTCCTAGGAGTGTATGTGCGTAAGATGTTTTGTTTTTCCCCTTTTTGTTCCCTACCACCATTTTGAGATGGCAGTGGACAATCTTTGTCAAGCCTCAAGTAGCTGGCCTCCAGTCTGAGGCCCTACAAGGACAATAATGGACTGTCAGATCACTGGATTTGTCTTTGTGACTTTGTCACTCACATCTCCAGAACAGAGATTGTCTGGCAAGCTATACATTAAGTTGCTGTGGTTACTGCAGTGAAGTTCTCAGTTGCCTTGAAGGTTGATAGTAAAGGTTGGCTTTTTCAGTGGAGCTTTGTAGAGCCACTGGAGAGGTTATTTCACCGTCCTCCATCATGGTGGAGCTGGAGCCTTTTTGCCCCCTTCAAACTCAGTGTCATAGTAGTTCAGACCGAAGGTGACACATGAGTAAATCACAATGACTGGAAGATGAAGGGACAAGACATTAAAAAACCCCCACCCATTTTTTATCCATAACATTACCTTGTCTGATCTGTTTACTTCTTTGTACCTGAATAACCTCTGATAAGTGTTACGACCATTTTCTAATGGAACTGAGACCATCTGTCTGTCTGTCTGTCTGAGGTAAAAATGCAGCGAGATGCATCACCAGTCCTGTCAACAGAATCTGCAGCATTCCTTTGGTGGTGTCTGCAAGTGGAGGTTTGTGGGAAGGTGAACTCACCTTTGACCTTGAAATTGTGAAGCTGTGCAGTCTGCAGTAGCTGCATGTCCTGTGTACAGCCCTGCTGTTAAGAAATTTCAGAGATCAGGGACAAGGCTTTACAGAGATGCCTTAGCACGCACCGTATCTTGTAATACTGCCGAGTTTGTGCTGTGATGTTGCCTGGTGATCCAGCCTGAAGCCTCTGGAGTACTGGAATTCCGTGTCTCAAATTCCACGCCTCTGGAATGTGATTGTGCCATGTGAATGTGGTACTCAGAAGACAGTGTGTATGGACTGCTAAGATCTGGACAAAGTTGTAGAAGACTGAGAGGCATCCAACCTCTCAAAAAGCATAGGAAGACCATTTCTCTTGTGAAGATCATGAGGTGCTCTCATGAGGTAGGGTTGTTCTTCTCAAGTCTTCACCAAGCACAGTAGGGTTATTCTTTTTCCTGTAATTGGTGGGTTAGCTGTATCTAGGATGTGTTAGTGTATCAGGTCAGGTGGTGCTAAATTCTTCTGCAGCATCATGCCATCTGGTCTAGCTTGAAGTTTATTGCACCTGAGTTCATGTGCATGGCTGACTTTTTTCATCCTGAACAGAACAAGCGGTCTTCACTTTGTGATCCCTTTAAATCAGCTGGTTTGCTGGGTGATGTAATTTTACTGATGGTATTTTGTAGTTGATTCTGCAATAGCAGTAATACATTGTGCTTCCATCACTGTGTGGCAAACGTTTCTAAGGAGCCTTCGTGCTACTGCTGGATGGATTCTGGTTACAGCTTGTACTCGATCGTGTTCTCATTTGAATCTTCAACAGGTGCGAGCGTTTGAAATACTACAGCAGCCTTAGCTCAAGGCAGGCTTTGTTCGCCTGCCAGTCTTTCAGCAAATAGGACTAAGTTTAGTTATTTACATGCTTACATTTAAGAGACATATTAAATAGATTTTTAAGTAGAAAAATAAAGTGCATGCAGAAAAATCTCAAAATGTCACTGTAGACCTTAAAGTTGCAATATAATTGAAAATCAAAAGATTTTTCTTGAAAGTTGACGTAATTTCAGCCCTCAAGTGAAGCAACTACTGGTTTGGGGGACCAGTTCTTTGTGTTAAGTCATACCAATATTAGTGTTAATATTTTTAAATTGCTAATCGTAACTTTAAACAATTACAGAGATATTTCTAAGAGCTCACATTAGAATTGGAGTTCCAAATATTAATGGATTTCATTAATTCATTCAGCCACCACACATACTGCTGAGTTCCCATACAAGAAACAAATGGGTGCATGTACGTTCAGATCAGGTCATTCTGATTTAAAAAATACATGTTAAAAATAAAGACAATTTCTCTACTGATGTGGGAAGACAAGAAGTGCAAACTGCTTGGGACATCTTCATCCCGATTAGGGAATACAGAAAGAGAAGAGAACGCATTCTATTTTTATTCAGAGCTGTAGTGTCGGTCATCATGAAAACTACTGGTTTTTCAAGGGTCTGGAACCTACAGGGGCTCACAGTTCGGGCAGTTACTAGTAAGTAGCAGAACTTACAGAATATTCCTGTAATCTGACAGAACAGATTACAACTTAAAATGCACATTAGGCATAGCAAATATATAAAGCTAATGAGGATTAGAAGGAATAACTAGATTGTTAGTGTCATAATAACATCTTAAGTCTTTACGATGTACTGCTTAGTTCTTTTTATCTTCAAGGATGCCTCATATAATAGGGATGTCTCAGGGCAAGAACTTCAGGGCAGGCAATATATTCTTGAGTGTATCAAGCCTGCCACAACAGGGTTTGAATCTTAACTTTTACCAGTGCCTTAAAGTGTAGAGAGAAAACAGAAAAGTTTTAAATTCCAGATATTTCAAAAAAAAAAAAAAAAAGAAAGCAAGCACCTGGACTCCTTATTACTAGTTTAGGAGACTGTAACAATAAAGCATACCTGAAAATAAACGTACCAACCAGCATTTGTACATAACAACCTTGCAGAAGAGCACTTTTTGGATACTCATGCTATTCCTTTTGATACTTAGATTTTCTAGTAATTGCTTGAATACTTCCAACCAATTGTGTGCACTATTGGGGTGGCTGAAAAAGGGTTCTTTCCCGAGATACCCCCCAAATCCACATCAGACATCGTCCTTAACAAACCACAGTTTGACTAAACAGCAGCAGCAGGAGTTTAAAAAAAAAAAAAAAATCCTAAAATCCAAGATAGCAGATGGTAAATCTCCAATTGCATGCTTTAAGTAACAAGTATGTGCCTTGAAAGGGAAAGAAGCTTGCACCTAAAATTATACTGTGCTATCTGCTTTCACAGCAAGAGGACGTTTTTGGACTTTTTTTTTTTTTGGTCAAGAGATACTTTTTTCTTTGCACTTCATCTAATGACAGTTTTGTTCTTAAGCTGCTATTAAAGGGCAGTTTGTATTTGGCAATCTGGATATCACAGATGAAGACATGGCATTAGTCCTTCATTTTACCTGAATGTTTTAGCTTTCAGTTTTTTAGCTTTTAATAGTGTTTACGAAGTAAAGGGGGAAGGGGGAGAATATGTATATTTTAATCAGGTTTGGTTTAGACCACAGAGAATAACACATTAGAGAAAAAAGGCAATTACTTAAAAATAGTTGTATTTATATTCCACAATTTGCTCAAATACTGTTTGGCTTTTTTTTTTTTTTTTTTTTTTATAAACTTTCTACAGGCTGTTTTAAAACAAGTTCTTCACATTGCTTGTCAACTATGTACTTATGGAATTTGCAGGAAATAGTTCTGGTTGTTTTTACAGTTTAACACATGTACAGTACCAAAATGATGGTGGTTAGTCACATGCAGTCCATATGAGACTCTAACATAACATTTAATGAGTTTTCTGATGTGGACCACCCCTTGGATGCTGACGGTAATGCATCTGTAGAAAGCAGTGACTGTAGATTTGGGTTACTACTCTCTGCATCTTCCAGTTTTTCCGTGTTGTCCTCCCAATTAATGTGGAATCTTGTGACTCTGGGATTAGATGCCAAAATATTCCTTTGAAGCTAGGAGAGAAGAAAATATATGGATTATGTAATTTGTACATCTCAAACTGGAGTTCATGTGCATATAGATTTTTGTTCCTTTTATTCCCCATAGCCTTGTACACGTAAAATAATTTGTTTAAAATGGTAATTCATATAAATGTGAATCTATAGCTACTATCTGTGGATCAGAAACATACCACTCACTCATTTACTCCAATATCCTACTCAGCAAAAGTAACTGCTTTCTTCAGAGAATATTATTAACTGTTCCTTGAGTTCAAGGCTGTATGAAAACTCTGCAAGCAAAGTGCAAGTGTTTATTATTTTAGCCAGCTTTTAATTAAGCAGATGACTACCCCCACAAAGATTTTGCAAACCACGGTACTTCATAAAATTCTGCATCACCTTTATGGTACTTGCAATAATTGTATCAATTCCATGAACTATTTGTCTTCATTCCAGAGTACACCCTTTCCTTAAATTAAATTGCCATGCTTTAGATTGATTTTACTAACTGAGTTTTAATTTGTCTTCTAAAGTTTTAAAGTAACAACATTACTTAGATTTGGAAGATATTAATATTGTGGCAGTGGACGTGCCTAGACATTAGTCATATATTTTATTATCATGGCTGGCCTTATTATTCCTTTGAAAACATGTTGTACTTGTTCATGTACACAGCAAAAAAGAAAATGCTCACTTTCTTTTACCTTTCACCATTTTCAAGATAATAGATAGTTAACTGGAGGATGGCAGCTTACTGCCACTGGCAGCCACTCATTGTGAAAGTTAAGACTGATCACAGGAAAAGTTTGCTTTGGTAGTAACACTGATTTTATGCTCCAAGGAATTAGATTAAACTCTAATGAAATATGTCCCAACCCCTCATGCAAACTAACAAGACCATTTTCTTTTTTTGAACCTAGTACAGTATATTACACATCAATTAATCAATTTAATAACCTTCTACTTGAAGGTTTAAATTCTGTCTCAGAGTCACATTAAGGACTTCTTATACCAATACAGGATAGCTTTTGCTGTTATTTTCATAGAAGCAGAGCTAGCTTTTTATATAAGCAGAGAATTAAGACAAATAGTTCTAGGCATTTCTAAATTCAAGTGCTTAAAGGAAGTCAACATTCTGGCATTCACACCCAAAATAAATAAGTATATGATTTAAATGAACAAAAAAAAGAAGAAAGGAACAGATAAGTTTAAGAATCCTCAAAATTAACCGTAATTTTGAGACATATAGAGCATCTGATCCCATAAAATTTAGCATAGAAAATAGTGACCTTTAAAAACCAATTTATATACCAATTCAGTTTAGTTACATTTGAAGATCAGCTGTAGGTGCTATGGGGATTATCTCTGTACTACTCATTACAATACATGCATAATCCCATTCATTTCTTTATATATCCAGTCACATAATTCATGCAAACTTGAGAAATAACAGTTTTCACCATCGCACAACTTTGGAATGTGAGTGTGTACACATGTATGTCAGCTTTCATAAGGAGAAAGCCCAACTCCACAAAGTCTGCCATGAAAACAAACCCAAATGCTGTATAGAACCATGTTGGTTTGTCTGCCTGGGTAGGGTGTTTCACAGGATTCTGACTAGTTTTTGATGTTTAATTGATCCTTCTCCTTAAGATATTGGGTTCCAAATAATTCTATTTCACATAATCTTTTCATTCTAGTCCTGGTTTAATTTTTACCGTGAAGGATGCATACTTTTTAAAACTTGATCTGTATACTTCCTTGGTCAAGTTGTCCATTGACTGAATAATCATCCAACCTGCTTTTACCAGGTTACCCATCTTTCCTCTTTTTATATGCAACTTGTTCTTCAGTTTGTTTGTTACTGTTTTGCAGAAACTGCAGCTCTAACACTAGAACAGCTGGATAACAACTGTATTAAAATAATACTTAGTTCCAGGTTGACTGTCCTGAAAAAAAACCACCATTATTCTGTTCTTCTGAAAAACAGAGCCACTTTGTCAACAGCGGTACACACAGAGGGAACCCAACAGTGTATTTCACACTGTCAGTGTAAAATCCTAATGAAGTCCAGCCAAGGCTTCAAGCTGCTGGAAACTGTTGCAGGTTTCTCCATGTTCTCCAAATTTATGGCACTTGTAATTTGTCCCAAGTCTTTTCCATTATTTGACACCTCATTCCATGGACTTTATGGAGTCAGTTGGTGTTTAGTTTTGTTTGTTAAAAACCTCCTTCTCTAAGCATACCTTCGGTCTATGACCAGAACAAAACATGCCTTACCTTAGAAAAATCTGGCTTTACTGGTGGATTCTCTCGCAGCTCTGTTTCGGTATATTCATTGTTTACATAGTAGCCGACTCTAATAAATTCTTGACCTCGATAGGTGCATGTAATTAGCACAACTGTGACACCTACTGCGTCTGCGTCTGGAATAAGCCCCGGGTTAGGTGCATCAGCCTAAATGTGAAAGGGAAAGACAGATAAAAGGAAATTGATACCACGTGCCTATCCAGAAGGGGAATCTTAAGTAGTATGTCTTAGCAGCTGAGTAGTGACTGTACAATTGTTCTTCAAGTTAACCAGAAAATACACCTGCTTTCACAACGTCAACCCCGAATTTAGGACAGTATCCTCTAGAAACAGAATTATTTAGAATACAGTAATATTGTGTGCTGACATTTCTCTGAGTGATTCAACAGCTTTGATCCAAAACTGCTTTTAAATGTACGATCAGCTGAAGTGTTGCTTGAGGAAGTGTACTAACATCACTCCAACTCTACAGTGCCATTGTTCTCCAGCCCACCTTGGTAATTTAGTAGAGTAAGAATTTTTTGGGGGGTACCTCTGAGGTTGAATTGCTCTGTATGTGTGTTTTTGACAAGACTAAAGCCTTTAAAAGACAGACTTTAATTTATACTTCGCCAAGAAGAGCAGTGACAGGCTACAGCGAGGTTTGAGCTGTCCCACAGATTTCTAGGAAAGGAATAAACTACTCTCTCTCTTACTTCCTTCCACAAGCCTACAGCTGTTAAAACATAGGCAGTTAAATGCATCATCACTCTAGGACATTTGACATATTTTCAGCCAGGATGCAATCCTAATTAATAGGCAAGTCTTAAAATCTTCCTCAACATCCTGACTTACTGGGGCTCTGCAGTTGCAAACAAGCACTAAGATTTGCCTTGTAAAATGTGGCTCACGTCAGTCCTAACTAACACATATTGATAAAATGTGATGCCTCATTCTGCTGTAGGATTTAAAGTAACAATAATCCAAGCATAAATGAAACAGCTTCATATTTACAATTTTACATGAAGATCTGAAGCCAACAATGAACACATGTTAACAATGCATGTTGAAGTGTCTTGGGTGCAACAAATCTTCCCTAAGGACAGAGGACAAATCGGATTAATTCTCACTGTCCCTCTCATCCCTCCTTTTCTGTAGTATTTGTTTATATGCCCCATCACTGTGAAATTTGGGAGCTAGTGGGTCATGCATCTTTGGCTTCTGCTCTTTGCTACTTCAATTCTGAGCCTTCAAACCAGTCTAGCTTTTTATAAGAAGCTGTAGGCGCTCTGCAGAAGAATTAGATGAGTCAGACCTCTCAGGTACAAATGCACCAGGGGAAGGAGAAGCAACCAGGGAATTGGGTAGAACACAACTTCCTCCAGCCCTGAAGGCAACAGAAAAAGGCCAAATGGTTTTACAGCTTGCACAGGGGAATGGAAAAGATGATCAAGCAACAGGACAAGTGTAGAAGCTTGAAGAAATCACAAGAACTGCCAATAATACAGATGAAATTGCTACTTTAATTCAGCAGTCTTGTTCTAACAGTGCCCAGGACCATGCAATCACTTCAAATTCCACAGTGGGCAGTTATAGACTAAAATACTGCAAAAGGACACGTCCATTTAACCCCCCCCAAAACTCCACTCACACTCTAATGTGGGATTTTAGTTCTTCCAGGCTCCCATTGTCATTTTGGGTCTTATAATATCCTATGATACAGTTGTGAACCCAAGGAAATACTCTGTTGTAATCCTACTTAACTCTCAAGCATTGTTTTGCCGAGTGGAAAAGACTCAACACTGTTTAAAACTGGGGTTTTTTCCTAAAATTTTGAACTTCCTGCCTTCAACATCAAACCTCTTAATTGCACAGGAAACAAATGATCATACACAGCTGGGGGGAAAAAATAAAAGTAAGAGCTTGGTATGACAACGTGGTAAGTGAGCAGTTGCAAACAGATCATTTTAGTAGGCAAAAAAGGCAGTAAATTAACTTTTGCATTAAAATCACTGTCTTATTATGCCATTCTTACACTAGAAATTACTTAAGAATTTTATGAAATCACTCAATATATATGTTGCCTTGAATTACCTTGCTTTTCCACATGATGGATTTATTCACATAGCTGTTACTGCAGGGTAGGTAGCTAAGGTCATATCCCCACTTAAATACAGTAAATTATTTATGTGCTTATAATCTCAAAAAGAAGTTTCTGTGAATTTATTACAAATCTCCAAGTGCACAGAGAGGAGGAATCAGGTTTCACTACTCATATCTTGGTATTTAGAACCAAACAGGCCCAGCTGTAGGCCTTTAATATTGAAACCTTTTCTTTTTAAACATAAAAAACAAATAAAAATTGTATTGCATCTTTCTGTATGTAAGGCTGACTTCCCAACCTGATACACAGCTTCTTTTCAACACAGGTAGCTTTACCATCCTTGGCATTTTATCTGTGTGGTACTCCATTTTACTTGCTGTTTCAGCCATTTTCCTATTTAGAAAAATCTACAGCGTGATATTAGCTGAAAATTCTATGCACCTCCACAAAGGTCCTTTCTTTGTGGTGTCCCTAGTGAACACATCTATTATTCGCCTCCTGCAGTTCTGTGCTTTGCCCCATTCTTGCCTTCCCTTGCTAGTTCTCTCCATCTCCCAGGCTGCTTCAGTCTGGTGAATAAATAGCTTTAGTCCTCAGCAAAGGCCCATTGCAGCACTTCTGGTTTTGGGGGTCTCCTCTGTAGGCACTGGCTGAGCCCTACCCTCCCCTGAAATCCAGTGATTCTGAAGTCTAATATACTTAGACCAACAGCACTTCCATAAGAAATAAGAGGGATACTTTATTATAACACAGAAGGAGGATGTATTCCAATCTGAGCAAAACGTCTACAATCTACTCATAATTTAACTGCAGTGTCAGTTACAACTGGGATACAATTGATGAATCCATCCTACAGAAACTGCAAGACCAGTACATTTAATTTTAGAGGCACTCCTAGTCATACAGCCAAAACATGCCTTGTTAGGCACCTGCCTCCTGCTCCTTCCCATCACCATCAACAATGAATCTTTGTAACTTAATTGAGAACAGTGCATCTTTTAAATTAGAAATGTAAATGCCAGCTGATTTCTTTGGATGTAGTGCTACAGGGTAGCCCCTTTGAGGGCAACAGAGGATCACCTGTTTCTGACCAATTAATGCCATAGGGTATAATAGCTTGATAATGGAAGAACTGTTAATAAATGATGCATTTGTTACATCTGCTTTGTTTGTAGCGTGGAAAAAATTAGGCCCAGCTCCAAAACCAAACAGAAGTGTTTCAAAACTGATTTGCACTTGTGTGGTTAATAAATGGAACCCCCAGCCTAATTCTATTCCTTTATCCTGTTCTGTAATAAAAAAAAAAAAATCCTGGAACTTACAGGATTAGTCAAGATGCCTCACAAATGTTGGTATTATTTTAAAACAGTAACTGTGAGAAATAAGAAAGTGTATTCATTAGCACTTTTTTTTTTTAAATGCTCATACTCTAGCATGCATTTGCCATTCAGTAGTTAAGTGAATTTACAGTACTTGGGAAAGTAGCATGGTTCTTGTACAATAAGCCCTACTCAGTTTCAATCTGATTTTTCTGCTGATGGATTTTACTCTCAGTTTATAAGACAAATACCAGCATTTGATGAATAGAGAAAAAAATAAGCTAAATCAGAGTTTCGATAAAAAAACCAAACACACACACAAGAAAAACTTCTCTAAAAATTTAGGCAAGTCTGCTTTAGGTTTTTTCCCCTTCTTGCTGACTTAAAATGGAAACCAGAATAGGCTAGTAAGCCATCTTAGTGCTGTTCTTTCCCCATTTTCCTACCCTTCATTATTCCTTCTTAGTAGCTTTTGGCTTTAACAGCAGCATTTTATAGCACTGTCACATGCTCTGGACTCTGTTGGACAGTCTTGATCTACACATTTGTGTCCTAAACACCTGCCATCTACCACTGGAATTCTGTCTTATTTTACAAATTGCTGTATTTTGTTGTGATTTAGCATGCTTAGCCAAACATCACAGTTGATTATTTATCCTACTAAACAGAAATTAACTCTTGCCTGTTCTGGAAGAGTTTTACAATGAATTTGCTGGCCTCATCTTCTGAGGATGTTGCCTACATTAACCTAGTGCTCCTGACTCTGAAACTGCCACCAGCCGCAGTAGAGTTAAGCCTGCTGGTGCTAGTGTAAACCAGGTAACGGGCACTCGTGATTACCGGGTGATCTAGAATATATTTATAAACCAGACTGGCCAAAAATAATCAGTAGCTACAGGAACAGTGCTTATAATCACTATCTCTAACGATGGATACCACAACTGAAAATATTACCATGGACATATCAGGGGAAAGAAATACCATCTCAGGAACAGACTTTAAAGGAAGGTGTATCATACCTGAAGAGCTGACCAAAACATTTTTTCTAGCTTACCATTATTTTTCAAGTGCCTCTTTGCTTGATACAGTCATCTTTAAACAAATTAATAAAGCCCTTTTAGAAACAGTTAAATCAAACTTACCTGAAATACAAACATGTGTCTGCCTGCAGGAACAGGTCCTACTAAAACTGAGTCTAACACCTGATCGTACTCTTCACTTTCAGCTGAACCCACATAAATTATCTTCCATTCCAAATCTACAGCAGAACAAAAATAATAAAGAAAACCAACATTATTTATCATTACAGTTAAGGGTCTTCCACTCTTGCCTATCTACAGTTTTGTGCAGCCTCAAATTACTTCGTTGGCAACAGGCGCAAAGTAACAAGGACGTGTCTTCATTTGAGAAATTTATCGACGCCTGCCCCAGCCCTCTCGAGCCAGAGCATCCCACCATCTCCCCCCAGGCAGCTGGTACTGCAGGAATCCCTCTGCTGTCACAGTCAGGTTAATTTTTAAATTTTATACAGAGGACAGGGCCCATGTACTTGTTGGGAACTGCATTCAATATTTTCTCCAAGCCTGTGGGAATGGCTTCAGCGTGCCTTGAATACTGACTCCCCCAAAGATAATTCCCACCTTGCACACGTACACCTCACAGCTTAAATTACACAGATCACGGAAGGTACTTAATTGAATAAGAAAACCCACTGTGTAAGGGCCAGGCACACTAACTGTGTGTCCCCATTCCTTCACATGTAACTTGTGTAACCTGTGAAGTATGTAAAATTGTGATAGCATGATTAGACCATGATTGAAGATGCTGGTGCTTGGATTTTATCCGCATTCTGAAATGGAACTGCAGGCAAAAAAAAAAAATTGCTTCTTAAAATGATGCACCAAAACCAAACATTTCTTACAATTCAGTATTTCTAAATCACCCTCTCCACCACAGGTGTTGGAAAGCTGAAACTGCAAATTAGCACACATTAGCTCTTCCTGGGCCAGCTTTTAACTTTCACTTTTTGATTGAAAAACACATGCATAAATATACACACAGAACTAATCTCAAAAGACAGATTTTTGGTCTTTTTTAAACAAAGAGGGAAAAAAAGATCAGCATTACAAAAAAAAAAACTATGAATAAGTCTTTTTCTAAATGAAACTGTTGCTTCAAAGTTTTACCTGAAAAACTTGTATATTTAACATTTTTTTTCCTGAGGAACAGTGCCCCAGTGGTCTGTGCAAAAGCACCAACCAGTGCCCTATGACACTTACTTCATTAGTACTCTCTGCAGAATCCAAAGGTCCACATTATGGTTTCGTGATGCAGGAATGGAACTTAAGCACAGAAAAAAAGCAGCCCTTTTACACAACTTGGCTGGTTTAGGGTCACAGCTCCCTTTCCTCATTAATGACTTCTTCTTGCTTATCACGTTTAGCATCAACGCAGGTATCAGAGGTTTAGGTAACATAATTAACAGAGCTTAGGAAGGGATTTTACGCCTTTGTACAGCACAGCACAATTGGCTAGGTACTCTATCAGAGGCTTTATTTGCCTTCTAAGCATCTAGTACTAGCTACTGCCAGTCCTGCAGACTACTCATCTACGACACTTAAGGACCTCTTTTGTCACCATCTGAGTTTAAGTTACCACTTACTTACAGAAATCAAGGACTTTTAGGCTAAACTACTTAAGATTATCACACTACCATGTGCTGTTATTCTAGGACAACAGTATAAAGTAGTACTAAGTGCTGAAAAATGGACTTTTTAAAAAATGAGTTTTAATTTATATATTAAATAGGTTGATCTAAATGCTGTTTAGGTATCTTGATACCAAGTAACAACTTTCTTTTTTTTAAAAAAAAACAACAAAAAACCTAGACTGCATTAATTTTAAGATCAGTGGTGCACAGGACTGGCTGAAGAGAAAACAGCACAATAACTAGACCTATTAGCACCTGAAAACTGAGGCAACTACAGCAAATTTTTCATCAAGTATCAAAAGGCTATGTTTAATCTTGTTTATAAATGTGAAAGATAGCAGTGCTCATACTGAATGTAGCCTGTAGTCTAACTTGCATTTAGGTGGGGGGGAAGGGAACTGAGAATTCTGCATTAGACCATCTATAATTCTTCTCACCCCGACGGCCCGGGGTTAACTCTAGTGTGAGCGCAGAGAGTGAGGCGCGGGTCACTTACAGCTGTGCGCAGCTGGCAGCAAAGGGGTAGCACCTTGTGCCGAGCCCCCACGACAGGCACTGCCGCTGCGTTTCGCAGGTGCCATGGCGGGGCCTGA